ATGCTTCCAGCTATTACAACAATGGCCAATGGTAGCCCAGCACACGCCTTCACCATAAGCTTCAAAATTTCTCCCAATTCTTGATTTTGTAGAATGTCCCTTCCCACCTTATCTAAGAACAAATTCAAAGACTCTTCCTCTGAAAGAGGAGACACTTTAACTATTTCACAACCAAGGAACTGGCATACATCCACCTTTCTACTAGTAATAACTATTTTGCAACCGTTTTCCTTTGTGGGACTCGGGATTCCAACATCATTGAGAGTAAACCTTTGCCACACATCATCTAATATCAACACATATTTCACTCTTCCTATCATCTGCATCAATGTTGAAGCCCTCCTTTGCTCATCCTCATTCTCTGGGAGGCTTTCATTCATTCCTTTTGCAATCTCATTTTGTACTTTAACAACATTGAATGGATGTGAGACAGTTACCCAGATCACCTTATCAAATGTGGACTCCCTCAATAGTAATTCATTATGGATATGCTTCATAATAGTGGTCTTCCCAACACCCCCGATACCGCAAACTCCAATCATTGGGACCTCATTGCTTGTCAAGTATTCCCAAATTTTTTTCTTCACAGCAATCTCACCTTCTAGATTATCTACTGGTAAAGGCAAAGCAGTTTGAGGCTTATCAACTACCAAGCCTTGAGGAAAACTGCCCCGTTCAAGGATTGCATCCATTGCTTTAATTTTTTCACGCACAAGTTTTCCGATGCGAGCTCGTGACAAGTACGAAGCATTGTGCACCCTTCGTTCAACATCTTCAATTTCAGAATTGATGTTGCGCACATCTTGAAGCCATTCCTCCACTTCTTTTTTGCATTGTCTTTTCAAGGAAACCTCTGCTTGGAGTTGTGTTTCTACATCATTTTTTATGGCATTTAGAATTCCCAATTTCTTTCTGAGATCCTCCACATCTTGTTTGAATTTTCTGTGATAATCTACACAGCGACAGGTTGGGGTCGCTATGCACTTTATGATCTCAAGAATTAGTGATGCAATGTCCGCCATTACAAAAATGTCTGAAATGTAACATCAATTGAGGCACTTAAGTTACTGTTTGATTGAGCTAAAGAGAAAACATAAATACTTAAAAATCAAACAAAAGAAAAAACATAAATACGTAAAGAACTTTTGGTCCTTTCTATATATATATCTACCGACTTTGGGATTCATTGCCTTGTATTGGGTTATCTAAACCAAATTATTTGATAAATTATGTTCTCTTTATATATATAACATTGGTTTTTTTGTCAAAGATTGTCCATCTTGCTTGAGACTATGGAATTTATGGGAACTTTTGAGTTAAAAAATTGAATTGACTTCAACATAGTAAACTAACAAATTTTTGTCACATTATGTAATTAAAAAACATTTTTGTCATGGTTAAAGTTATATTAATTATGGATGCATATATTTAGCAGAGATTTAACAACAAATTAAACTTTCTAGAGTAGTCAAAAAATTAGTATATACCTGCAGATCAACTGGTGAAATGAATGATGTAAAAGGAAATGGAAAATAAGTGGAGCTGGAGGCAGAGCAGATTGAAGAAGCACAAGATTGGGGCCGGATCTGAGCAAACACATGACAATTACAATAACTAAAACAGATTAGAAAATAATTAACAAATCACATATAGCTCTAGATCAGCTAGAATTTTATTTCTATCTTTTTATGCATCAACAAGACGGCCACAAAACATAAATATAGAAAAGAAAATAATTATAACACTAAATAACATTGCTGTAGCCTGTAGGTAATTGCACTGAGGAAGATGAAAGAATAGGCAAAGAACAACTGAGAAGTGTATACTATAAAGCTTATATCAAGTATGAAGAAGGCAAGTCAAATGTAGAAATGTTGATGCCCAATGGAATTAAGCTAATTTGAAAAGCAGGATAAATAGCCATATTAAAAGAAGAATCCAAAGTTGAAAGGCATAAATTAAGTAATAAAGCATGCAGCTGCAGTAATATATAGTAACTTTGGTGCGTTTTAACAAAGTGAGGAAGTCTAGAATAGAATAATATGAAAGTAGAAATCGCAAACTCAGGGTGTGAGTATATATATATATGTGTGTGTGTATATATATATATGTATATGAAAAAAATGTTTATCATACAACTTCAATACTCGCATTAAAAAAATTAAAATAATTGATTTTTAAAGTATAAATGAAATTATTTTAATTTTTTTTATGATATTTTATTAGAATAACTTAATTTTAAATTGTTTTTCCTATTAATTTTTTTAATAATCTAGCTAATAAACACAAAGTATCTCTATGACTAAAATATACTTAATGAAATACAAACCACAACAATTATCCGATTCTATTTGCTCCATATGTACTTGTCTACATGTACGAAGTTTGAGGGGAGGACTGAGGCCAACCGTGTATCGATTCTTGTATGTAAATCATATATGCATGGGACCATAAAAGCACTCTTTCGGCATTCTATACATCATTATTATGCATTAAAAAAGTGATTGCTTGCTAATGACCAAAATAATTTCGAAGTAATCTCTTTTCATTACAAGTAAAAAATTCTAAATTTAAGTCACATGATATGTGGGTAGGGTGAGGTGGTACAAAAGATGAGAAATGATTGCTTTTTATTATGCAACTAAAATAAAAAAATTAAAAAAGTGATTTTTTTATGGGACAGATAGAAAATTTATTGGACCATTATTTGAAGATAATAGTGTATATCATTCTCCAACACATGAAAAATTTAGAGTTTCAACTTTAAAAATATTATATTTCAATAAATATTTTCAAAAACTAACTGTTAGATTTAATATTTGACTGATATAGATCATTTTTGTTAATTTTTAAGTTGATTTAAATGATCTATAATTATTTTATCAAGAAACTTAAATTTTTTAATATATATTTAATAGTGTTAAATTTTGTATAATTAATGAAATAGTTAGATATATTCAATCAATTTAAAAATTAATATACATTATCTATATTAAAAAAATATCAAATCCAATTATTAATTTTTAAAACTATTCTTTCAAACATCTACAATGGAGAACAATAGAAAAGTTCATTTTTCAAATCATCATAATTAATATTATTTTATATAAACTTACATTTTTATATATTTAATTGTAAAATAGAACAGTTCATTTCCAATGCAAATATTTAAACAGAGTTTCCTCAAAAGTCTCATTAATATTTTTTTATTTAATTCATATTTTATATATTCAAAAAATTATTTTATAAACCTAAATTTAATAAATTTAAATTACTTCTTAGTAAAATCAACTTATGATAATAAATTTAATTTACAAAAAATTTAAGTGAAAAGTAAATAAATTTTGCACTAAAAAAATTTGTAAAGAAAAAAAAATTAAAATTTGAATTAAAAATTAAAGTAATAAAAAAAAAAAAAAAGGAAGAGAAGAGTGTTGAGTTGTGTCTCTGATCTCTTTGGAGAAAAAACAATGGAAGAAAATTCTCATTATACACTCTTAAATAATGATATTTTTAAAATTGAGATTTTAATTTTTTTTAAAATTGACGACTAACATGCACTATTCTCTTATTTGAAATTTAAATTTATATTCATATTAATTTCTAAGCAAATCATACTCTATTGGTTTAATTCAACAAGGAGTTTTGCGAACATCTAGGTTCTTAACGGTTTTTTTCATTATTCGAAAATCAAAGCTAGCTAAGGGCAAAGAATAGAGAGAAGATAGATAGATGTCATTTTTATTTGCCAAAATATATAATATTATCCATTGCTAATTAAAAACTAAAGAGGTTTAAAAACAATAATGGTGTATATCTTTAGAATTCGCGGGTTAAGCGCTACTCCCTTCAACTTTGAAAATGATGATATACTTACAAATAGAAACTTACAAAATAGCAAGAAAAGGTGTTAATAAAAATATTAATTTTATAATTTTTTTATTTAAAAATGTAAGTTTTATTAATTTTTAATTAAAGATGTAAATTTTTAATTTTTTAATTAATGATGTTAATTTTATATTTTTTATTTAAAAATTAAGTTAACAATGATACTAATATGATAAATGTAAAATTGATATTTTTAAATAAAAAAAATTGTACAGTTCACATATTTATCTACCTTTTTTCGACTGAAGTAGCACATAACATATTTAAACTATATATACATGTATTTTTAAAAAATTTTCAATATAAGATTTTTGCACCTTAACACGCCCACTCAGCTTGTTAGAGCAAACGTGAAGAAGCAAAAAAAAAAGATGATAGAGGCCTTGAAGACATATGACTATTTATTTATTTATTTATTTTGATAAGGACATATGACAATTTAATTATTAGTTTGTCTACCGATGTTTCTCCCTAAAACGTTTCAATACCTAGTAAAGAAGGTCTGGGCGCAAAACTCAATTTGCTAAAATGGTTTCAGTGCATGACAATTTGTTTTGAAGATCGTTGCATCTTTCTTTCTTTTTGTTTCCTTCCCGAAGGGAAATTAGGTGAAATGTAATGCCTAGAGGTAGAACCCAGGATTTTGGTGTCCAAACAACCTTACAAAGGGCACTGAGCGAGGGGTTACTGGACAACATTGTTGCATCTGTGGGGTGTATATGTTTGGAGAAGGGAAATTCTGTTTTATAATAATTGTTGTTTGATTTATTATTATTATTATTATTATTACTTTACATGTAATTTATGTGCATAATTCTTTTAAATAGTATAATGGATGAAAATTAATTATTTTTCTATAAATAGTTCTAGTTAAGTAATTTAATGATGTCATTTTCAATTCTTATTGATATGCAAAAAAATTCACTTGTTCTCTTAAACAAACGTTATAACTAGCTAGTACTAAAAAAATTTTCAATGGCCATCCGTGCATGATATAAAAGTTGTGTAAAAATATTCTTTTACTCTGAAACAGAGGAAAATCACAACTAGTACATCCTATGAAATCAAAACAGAGTTCTAAAATAGTACATACCGGCAGATCAACCGACGAAATAACTGAAGGCAAAGCAAAGAAGTCGAAGATTTACTGGATCTGAAAAAAAGACATATAACCATAATAGATTAGAAAAATAACAAAGGTACCCATAATTTGTGTCCTTTTATGCATCATAACATACCAGCAGGCGAACTTAGTAAGGAAGATGAGAATAAGCAAAGGAACAACTGAGAATGTAAAGCCTATGGTATGGAGAAGAAAGAGCTAATGGTCGACAACTCAATTTTAGAGATAATATGCACAAAGGTTTTGGGCATCTTTGTTCTTTAGTAAGAACCAAAAACGTACATCTAGGAGCAAAGGAAGGAATACGGCCAAGAAGAAAAAAAGCAGCAAGGAAGGAAGGAAGGAATGAATCTTTACTAAGAACAAAAATCTTTCCTCTAGCAGCAAGGAAGGGATATGCATATCTACGCCAAAAAATAGAAAAAAGCATCAAGAAAGGAATGAGTCTTTGGTAAGAACCAAAATCATACCTATAGCAGCAAGGAAGGAATCAACATTTATGCTGCATTTGGGGATTGTTACGTAGTATAGTGGTTGTGGCATTTCCTATCGCAAAAAACTACAAAAAAGTTTGATAATTATTTTTAAAAAGTATTGTACATTTGTATAAATATTAAAATATACAAAATCTTAATTAAAATCAATTTAACTATTGCAAAATTAATACTTTTAATAATATATTGTGTGTAAAATTAAGAATTACGAGAAAGCAATTTCAAACGCATTATTAGTTTCCTTTTTATTACAAAGAATAAAATTGTATTTAGAATTACTCCCTCGGGTCTTAATAAGTTGTTCTAGGCCTCTAATTTGATTTTTTACATATAGTTTGACTTGATGTTTTTATATAGTAAAGGGATGGTAATTGAAAAAAAAAATGATCAAGTGAAATGATTCAACAACTAAGCATTGAGAAAAAAATTTTAATTCTCATTCATTTTCCATAGAAAAATATCGAGTGAATTTACATATAAAATATCAAAATGTGGGCGCTAAATATAGAGATAGTGCAAAACCATTCCAATTAGTCTAAAGCAAGGCAGCTTCAGTGGCTTAAGCATATACTTACAAAAAAGACAGTTGGTAGATGTATGAACTACGAGGTTTTGCCTTATATTTTTAGTTCAAATTGATAAGAAAAGAAATGAGTTTAGGCTTCATTTAGTATATTTGTGATTTTAAAATTTTAGTTTTGTCTTTAAAAATTTAAAATCTTAAAATAAAATAAAGTAATTCTATAAATTAATTAAATTTGGTGTACGTTTTGAGTATTTATTTTAAAATTTTATATTAATAAATTAATAATTTTAATTTTAATTTTGATTTTTTAATTATTTAAATTTTAAAAATTAAACTTTAAAATTTGAAATTAAAATCATACTAAACAAAGTCTTAATTAGGTGAAAAAATATGTCCATAGTAATACCAGTAGAGAAAAAGAAAAGGAAAAAATTTACGGGCCAGCGTTAAAGGTCATGCAAGCCCAAAACAATTCACCTACGAAAAATCCGGAAAAGCCCAAAGCTTTAAAAGACCCAATACATTCCTAGTGGTTTAGTTTTTAAATAAAATATTAATTTTAATTTTTTTAAATTTTAATTTTAATTTTTTATTTAAAAATTAACTATTTTTGAAAAAATAATTTATTTCATCTACATAGTCATTTAATTAATTTTTAAATATAAAGAATTAAAAATTAATATTTTTAAATAAAAAATATTAAAAATTAATATTTTATATTTAAAATTAATAAAATTAATATTCTTAATTAAAATATAATACAAAGTTTTTATAAAAAAAATATAATACAAAGTTGACATATTTATTTATACATTTTCTCCATACAAAGGCCCTGGTGATGTTTAGTTTAATCATTAACAACAAATTTCCGCTAATTTCTGAGCTTTAAGGCTTTATTGCTCAAGAAAAAGAAAACACGTTAAGCTCATTTTTTGGTTCAATGGAATGGAATATAAATTTATTTATTTATTTATTATTATTATTATTGATATTGAATGAAAATAAGGGAGACAAAAATACAGAAAAGATATAATATATTGAAGAATAAAGTTTTTAATTTCTTTTTTATTTTAAGTTACATAATAAAAAATAATTTTTTTTTATTTTTTAACTCATATTACTTATATATTATGTGACCTGAATTTAAAATATTTTATTTTTAATATTTAAAGGGTTACTATTAAATTATTTAAAATATTGACCAACTCTCAATTTTTTTTAATAAGTTAAAATAACATATGTTATACGTTGAGGACGAAATTGTAATATCAACATTCATATGAAATTAAAAAAAAAAAAATGTACGTGTAGTCATGTATGGGACTACGTTATTCAACTAATAATCTCATAATAGCTGAAAACCTTGGTCCTTTGTATTCTCTTCGCCATTGTCTTGCTCTTGACCGCATAAATACTTGAATCCCCATATCAAATGCAACAAGTTTAGCCTAAAAACTACCGATGAGCTTTCTTTTGCATGATATATAAGAAGAAAAGGAGAGTATCCAGACCGGTAAGGTGGATCGGAGACCTGGGAAGAGGCCCCTTTCATCCGATGAACCGGCGAGGAAAGAGGAAGATCATATCTTCCCATCTACGTAGCTCAGTCACAGCAAGACATGTCTGTAATGGTTGCAGCCCTAACCCAAGTCATAGGAAATAGCAGCAATAATGACCCTCTTCAACTGGATGAGAATCAATTATCGTTGTCCAGTAACTCAGAACAACACCAATCTCAACCATCTCAAGATCAATGTATATACTTCCACACACAGAGAAGTGAGGCAAAGACCGTGGGGTAAATGGGCTGCCGAGATACGGAACCTGCAGATACAAAGACTGTCTAATGCTAACCAAAACAATACACCCAATGGAATTCAAAAGCGAGAAAACAACTAAAAATTACAGCAAAAACAAACAAGTTTACACAGATTGGATAACAACAGGACATAGATTCCTAGTTTTATTTATTAGTATTGAACAAGGGTAATTTTTGGAGGGGTGAGGTGCAACCACGAGCAACAACGTTTGAAACACCTTAGAAGTCAGACCATGTCTCCTGACCCAGGAGAATGATTTTCTTTTGAGCACGAATCTGGTATTGTGGGAACCCATCCACACACTGAAATAAGATCTTGTGACCGACTTGCAGCCCCTTGTCACGGACATAACTGCACCAGCCTGATCTTAGAACAGGTCTACGATTGGCATCATCCCGGTGTAGTATCCGAAGGTCGGCCTCTGAGTTCCAGATGCATTCACGGTCAGGTCCACTGAGCGTGCTCCTTCAACATCTGGCAAATGTTGCATGAAATGAGTTGGAATCACTAACATTTCACGGATGTCAGTTTCCTTGAGCAGCTTCTCAAAGCTTGGCAATGCCATTCGCTACAACTCTACTCACTCTCTCTGTTTCTTTGACAACTGGTCTTTTCTGACTCTCTGCTTTGCCAATTCCCTGATGTGGCTTTCAGCTTTACATAGAGTGGTTATTCCATTCACGCACGAAACCCGAACATAATACTTACAGCAGCAAAAAAACATACCCGAGCGCTTGCAAAATTTTTATTTTATAATTTTTTGCAGTCCAGGAAATTTGTTTTAACCAGCAAGTAGACGCGCGAAGCTTTGTATATGCTCGCGGCTTTTTCCGCTTTAATCCGTAATCATGCAAACATCAAATATTGATAGAAGCATTCAAAAGATGTATATGAAATTTCTGTGAATAATTCCTTTGATGAGATTGTGAGCAAGTCTTACGTTGTAATAAACTAAACATCCATGAAAAGTGGGAAAAAACAGAGTATGTTGTAAACTGCAGCACGGCCAGTCCAAACCCGTTCGAAACGGGAGAGTATGAGAATGGAGGTCCCAAGTAGAAAATGTTAACAATTGAATTAACTATTCCTTCCCAACAGTAATAATAGATATTTTTATTTAGAATTTATTTTAAAATAATAGTTAATTTTTTATTTTAAGTGAAATAAATATTTTTATTTTTATTTTACGATTGTTTTTAATTTTAATTATATGATTGTTTTTAATTTTAATTAATTATTTTTTATTAAAATAACTATTTTTATTTATTTATTTTTTAAAAGTAAAATGTTTCTAAATCTTTAATACAAAAATAAAATAAAATAAATCTATCATTTTATAACAGAAGGAGTAATATAAAGGTCAAATTCCTGATTTGTATTGAATATATATTATTTTTTCTATAATTAATATTTTTTATAATTTTTACTTTTAGTTAATACTTTTTATAATTTAAAATTCATTCAAAACTCTAAATTAATAATAAAATTAAATAAGAAATTTGACTATTAATATTTAAACTTTTTTATAAATTTTAAATTATAAAAAATATTAGTTAAAAATAAAAAATTTTAAAATATCAAAACAATAATATATAGGTCTAAATAAGAGGTTTGTCCTGATAAAAAGGTGCTGTTAGTTTTTACAAGAGCTTTCGTTTCAAAAAAATAAAAATAAAAATTGGGCTTTGGATTTTTTTTAGAAAAATTTTTTATGGTACTTTCATTAAATTTTTCTTTACTATTTAATGAAAATGCAATTTGTAATCTTATATAACTAAAAATATATTAACAAAATTTATTATAAGTATATTAAAATTTTTTATAATATCAAAAAAAGGGATTACCAAGTAAAACTCAAATAATATTTATCAAAACGAACTTAAAATTATGATCAAGTACAAGGACTGTCTAATGCTAACCAAAACAATACACCCAGTGGAATTCAAAAGTGAGTAAACAACTTAAAATTACAGCAAAAACAAACAAGACTACAAAGATTGCACAACAACAGGACTTAGATTCCTAGTTTAATTTATTTATTATTGAACATGGGGAATTTTTGGAGGGGTGAGGTGCAAGTGCAATCACGAGCAGCAACGTTCAAAACACCTTAGAACTCAGCCCATGTTTCCTGACCCAGGAGAATGATTTTCTTCTTAGCACTAATCTGGTATTGTGGGAAACCATCCACACATTGAAATAAGATCTTGTGGCCGACTTGCAGTCCCTTGTCACGGACATAACTGCGCCAGCCTGATCTCAGAACAGGTCTACGGTTGGCACCATCGCGGGTGTAGTATCCGAAGATCCTCTGAGTGCCAGATGCATTCACAGTCAGGTCCACTGAGCGTCCTCCATCAACATCTGGCAAATGCATGAAATGAGTTGGAAATCACCAACATTTCGTCTATGTCAGTTTTCGTGAGCACCTTCTCAAAGCTCGGTAATGCCATTTGCTACAACTCTACTCACTCTCTCTGTTTCTTTAACAACTGGTCTTTTCTGAGTCTCTGCTTTGCCAATTCCCTGACATGGTTCTCAGCTTTATATAGAGTGGTTAGTCCTTTCACGCCCGTCATATTACACGCACGAAACCTGAACATACTACTTGCAGCAGCAAGAAAACAAACTCGAGCGCTCGCAAATAATATGGAAGTTGAATTTTTATGTTCTTTTGTAGTCCAGCAAATTTGTTGTAACCAGCTAGTAGACGCGCGAGCTCTGCATATGCTCGCGGCATTTTTCCCTTTATCATACAAACATCAGATATTGGTAGAAGATGTATATGAAATTTCTGTGAAAAAT